CACAGAGCATAACTTTGTCAGAGTCGATTTTTAGTATTTGAAGAATGGTACACTATGAATTTTATTAAAATTTAGCAGAAGAATTCTCGAAGTATGTTGTTTTCATTCAATTTTAAACTTTCCACGTAACAAAAACAATGAAAGAACCCTCAGAAACCAATATCCGAGCAAAAATGGAACAAGAATTGCAGGCACAATGATATCAATCAAATAGTATTGAAAAAATGTAAGCTTATTGGCCGCTAAATCGAAATTTTCAATTGGACCATATTTGATTGCGAATTCCGTGTACTTCAGAAGTCGTTCTTTCGAAGGAAATGGCTTTTCGCGGATCATCTGCGCCAACAACTTAGCTGATTTCTGATACCTTAAGTAGAAATAAGCTTAACTGCAATTCTGCATTATCTAAGTACACATGCAATCAAGATCAATCCGGATCTCATCCTATTTTCATCCAGTGTTGGTTTGACGCGGCTCTAAGTAGCAAGAAATCAACGCGGCACTGGAACCTAGAAATCAGTTACTCGTGGCACTCAGCAAGGGTCTACACAAATTCACACAAATGCTGCCATGAATTTTCAGTCCATCGCAAGCATGCAAAGAACAACCAATTTTCGAATTTATAGTTCGCTGCAAAGGTACCACATATGTGGTCATGAAGGTACTATTTGGAGTTGATTAAGTTCGTGCGATGAAATTTAGGTTCATTAGCTTTTTCTGCTTTAAATTTACGAAATATTGAAAACTTGCTCAAAGGTTTTGAGCATAAACTAAGTTCATCCGTACAAATAATCTGGTAAATTAGACATCAGAATTTTCGGTTCCTAACTTTTATAGCCGTTACAATTTAACCGGAATTTGAGCCTGAAATTACATGAATTCTAGAATGTTGAAATACAATTATGGGCTCGTAACCCCGTATGTGGAGGAACGTCTATTTCTAAAGCTTACGTTTTTTCAGCCCGCACCGATTCTAAATTGATGCCATAAGTGATGAAAAAAAACTTCATTTTTTCAGCCAAATCAGTTGAATAGTCACACATGTAAACAAACGAACATGCGAACAAACATATGCACAAATAGACAAACAAGCAGGAAAACATACAAGCGCGGCTGCATATTACATAATACGCTATCTATAAAATAGTGAAGCATAAAAAAAAGCAACAAATATACAGCACTTACTTTGCCCCGTATAAAATCTCATTCAGAGCACTGATCAACATTTCCTTTGAAATTTCGTGCTTATGCAGAAGCACGACAGTTTGTCGTTTTTCGGCAGTTTTTGCATTCCTCATCTGATCACCAAACAATGGAATGCAAATAAGCGGCACTCCTGCATGAGCACTTTCAGTTAGGCTGTTCTGTCCACAGTGTGATATGAATGCCCTGAGATTGGGATGTCCTGAAAGCACACGTCTTTTCAACTTCACTGTCAGTTGTTCTGTAATATCACTTCAAAACGTTATCGACAGCGACATGTGTTAAAAAGTTCTTCGGCAAACATCAAAAAGTTTGGCGAACTCGGAAAAGTCTTCCGGTTTCTTCGCTTCTTTATTACTGAGGCTTCTCAAAGTTCAAGTCAAAACTCTTCCATACTTATCCGTCGTGAGCTATGGACCGACCCGAGAGGTAGCCCGAGTGATAGCAAATGACAAAAGCAAACATTCGCTTGCAAGGCTGTCCATGGTTCTCTTTGGAAAGTCACTTACAAGCAAGTTTGCAACGGTTCCGAATTCTTGGTATGCGTCAATACCAATTTATCATCAAAACGAGTGGACGAATCGTGAAAGGAAAGCAAGGAGAGGCTAAGAAATCTATTTGTCATTCAGTAAAAACCAAAAAGAAATCCATGCAACATCATATTGCTAACATACATTTTGTACAGAAAAAAGAAAAAAAAAA